TGGAGGTCGAATGGCTGGTGTTCCAGAAGACAGCGGAGGTTGTTGTGGACTTTAGAAAGCACACAGCCCCCCTCCCCCCAACCCTGTCTGACAATCTCATAACAATGGTGGACTCATGTCGCTTCTTGGGCATCTCCATCATCCAAGAGCTCAAGTGACCTCTGTCTTAAAAAAGGCCCAGCAGAGGATGCACTTCCTAATGCAGTTGAAGAAATTCTACCTGCTAACACAGTCGAAGAGGCAGTTCTACACTACACAATATTGAGTCTATCCTCGCCTCTTTAAAATCACTGTGTGGTATACTGGAGCTACTACCAGGGACAAGAAGTATCTGCAGCATGTTGTATGCTCTGCTGAGAAGGTCATTGGCTGCAAACTCCCCTCCATACAGGACCTGTACACCTCCAGGTTATTTGGGCATGCAGGTCAGAAAACAGCTGACCCGTGTCACCCTGGACACAGTCTTTTTTATTTAATCTTTATTCATCCAGATGAGTCGATTGAGAACTCATTCTCATTTACAACTTTACATCAAAGAAAAGCAGGTAAGATCAAAAAACAAATACAAGACTAAAATAAGATAAAACAATTAGACATAAAAACAACAAATTGTGCTTATTCACAACATCTACAAACAATCAAAGCAGACTTTTTGACTCTCCCATTGGGCAGGAGGCTCAGATCCGTTCCGACCAGAGCCTCTATGGCATCAAAATGGGCTCAGCTCCACAGCAACAGTTTCTTCCACTCTGCTGTTGGACTCATGAATGACAATCCTAGGGCTGCCCACTCCAGTCACTTGGTTTCAGTCACATGACCCTGTGTTTTGTTTACAACTTAACTGTTCCACTCTGATCAGTACCTACACTGTCTTGTATATAGTAGCTGTTTCTCTAATGATTGCCTCTTTTTATAATTATTTTATCATGATTATATTCTTACTTCCTATATTTGCTTGTCTCTTATTTTTATCTTTCTTTTTGCACCAAGCACTGCAGCAATTTCCTAAAGCTGTGATATTTTGCACATGTGGCAATAAAACCCTGCTGATTTTGCTTTTGATGGGAAGGGATGTGTTTCTTATTTCATCTGGTTTCATCTTAAACTAACGCTTTAATACAGAACGAGAACATACACCAATAGTCGAACATGGTGACGGCGGTGTGATGGTCTGGGGCTGAATTGCTACTTTGGGACCTGAATGAGTTGCTGTAATCAATGAAGCAGTTAATTCTGTTGTTCACCAGAAAAACCCTGAAGGAAATTGTCTGACCTTTGACCTCAAGCCAACCCTTTGGTAATTGGCAACTGTTGTCACTATAGAGCTCCGGGAGTTGACGTCACTTCTCCCGGCATGCAACAGTTCAAATCAAAATGGCGCCATATTGGCAGGTAGAAGCCGGCAGCTGGACTATTTGTTATTGTCAGAAACGCAATCAGACAGGAAATATGATAGATTCCTGTTGTGCACCAGGATGCCAGAACAGACGCGGACGACATAAGGAATGAGCCATCTACAGGATTCCCCAAGACCCGGAGCACCGCAAACGTTGGATCAAACAATTGTAATAAAACGCGCTAGTGACCGGGCTAAAATGAAACTGTGGGATCCCGAGAGTAAAGGTTTTCGCTTATGCAGCGACCGCTTCATATCAGGTACTTAAACCAACGTTTCCTCAACTGTGTATGGTATTTATTTCAAATGCTTTTATTACGATTCTTAGTGGGCTTCCTAAACTTATTTTGGTGTGGCTTTTTCTGTCTAATTACTCATAGCAGCAAGTAAACATCACGTAAAACATGAGCCTCGTGATTTCTGCGTGCTGCCGTTTCCGTGTTTTATGATCACAGCAATTAACCGGCTAAGCAATGGTTGATCAATTGTCAGATCACACATAAAAAGCACTTTGGATTGCTATTATCTGTCTCACTGAGTCAGATCCTGAGACGCTCCTGCCTGACATATTTATTTTATTCATGGAAAACAATCAAACTAGTGATTTCTCTTGGCATTCAGTTTATACACTCAAACAGCACAGCACTCTATTTAAACTACTTACGTGTAAATCTGTTATTTGTCCATCCATTTTCATCCGCGTATCCGGAGTCGGGTTGCGGGAGCAGTAGCGTCGAGAGTCCCAGACTTCTATCTCCCCAGCCACCTGAGCCAGCTCCTCCGGGGGAATCCCAAGGGGTTCCCCGGCCAGGTCCGGTAAGAAGTCCGCTCCAACATCTTCTGGCTGTATCCCAGGGACACGGAAAGGGTCGGAGATGTTTAGTCTATTTAATTTCTGACTATATAAAATGATTTCTTCGGTTTTAAAGTGTGAAGTAAACTCAGACAAAGTAAAATCCAAGCCGATCCCGTTCACGTTCATGGTTAGATCCGTGTTTGTTTAGCTTCTTTTACCTGCCAATATGGCGTCCACTAACTGAGAGTCACGTGGGGTCCGGAGCTCTGTAGGCTCCAGTCACCCTGTGAAGCATCGGGAAACAAATGGTGGATTATCATTTGTTGTTGAATTTTTTAAAATTATATGTTTAGAATGAAACTAAATAAATTGGTTTTAAACATAATACAGTTGTGTCAATATAAAATATTATCATATTTTTAATGTTTAATTTACACTGTTGACAACTAAAAACAGTTCAATCAGGTTTTTTGAGGGAATGTTTCAGTTGAGGAAGGAAAATATGTCAGCAATGATTTTATTTTGGAGTGTTTCTGAACAACACACACTCCCAAACACTCACAGGCAAGTCATTCACACTTAAACCCCACAATGACCATGTTCATCCACGCTTGGACTCCGATCAAAGAGCTCCTTTCACTTCTCTGTGGGGATTAAATAGCCCTCCATCCTCTATGGGGAGGAGGTGCGCCGCTGTACCTTTATTTCCAGCCGATGCACTGGCCTGTGAAGAGCTGGTCACGGGGGCGGACGCTGATAAGGTGCATCCAGATGGCCTGTGCAAGAGTGGCAGATATGAATCTTCTCAGCGAGAGGAACCCCCTCCATCGCAGAAGAACACAGCTTGCTTCAACTCTAATAATCAGATTAAAAAAATGGTTCCAGAGATGTTTCTTTCCCTTTGAAATTCAACCAGCAGGTACTTTGCTTTCTATATGCCACACACACACACACACACACACACACACACACACACACACACACACACACACACACACACACACACACACACACACACACACACACACACATGTTTCCATTGTTGTTGTTGTAAGGCTTTGAAATCTAAATGGACTCATTTGCATGGGTTAAACATTCGCACCTTTCAGCAGCTTCTGTCGATATGACGGATTTGCAGTTCTGCTGGTTTTAACTCCTTTTATCCCACTCCACCCACGTTGTTTTAGTTAGAGATTGCTGCTTGAAATTCCACAAAAGAGGATGTGGAATAAAGATAAGTTGTGAATGGCAGCAAATAAAAAAGTCCTTTACTGCTTTTGCATGATCCCTTTCTCTGATATCAAAAATGAATCAGTGATTTAGCAGGGGTTGCTGTCCATGGTGCTGAACACAATTCACAATAGCTTTTGGAGGTATGATTGACTGAACATCCTTGTTTTAATGATTATTTCTGATTATAATCGATCACTCTGAGTGTTTCATGCAGGCTGAACATGAAAACAGTCTCCTACACCTATCTCTTGCTTTAGCTTCTGATACAAAATAGATGGAAAAACTCTAAGATTTAAAAATCCTCACATATCTATGTCACACTGTGAATTTGCATTCATGGTTCCACCCATCTTGGCTCATGGAAACTCTTTTTATTTATTTTTTTTTTGCGGCAAGGAGAGAGCAGAGTGTTGCCTATTCTCAATACTCGCACTGCGCCCTGCGGTCTTCAACAAAGTGCACTAGAAGTGGGTTGTAAAGCCTTGAGTGCGTAGTACACAAGTGTGCAGATATTTGCCAAATTGAGACAGGGAGCATTGCGTCATTGACCACAATGCATGCTGGGATGCAGGTCGCTGTGATACATTTTTTTAAACTTTTGTTAACAACTTTTAAACAACCAAACAATTATTTGAAATAAATTTACATTCATTGCTGCTTTGTCTAAACTTTTCAGAGCAACATCTAGTCATCTTAAAATGAACCACTTTCATTAGAAAATATATATTTTCAGAAAAGGAGCTTGAGCCGTCTCTCTCGCAGCAATGAATTGTGGGTAATACACTTCACCCAAGTTTGCATCGATGCAGACTTGGGTGAAGTGCGGATCAAGGGTGCAAAACGGGCGTGATCAACTTCCGCATTTGAGAGTCAAGACACCCTCCACACTCGCACACCTGTCGCGCAATTGAAAGGTGCAAGGGTGGAAGTGGAAGTATTGGGACTGGGCCTGTCTTGGTGATAGACTTTACAACATGGCTGAATGTGTCTTGTTAGCCAATCAGAAGCGAGGTGTGTGCATTTCATTAGTAATTATTATTAATCCTGCTGTTTTTAGCTTAACTCTACACCAGCAAACTTCTGCATCTCAGAACAGGAGCATCATAGTTCTTTTTTAATGACTCCTAATGCATTGATTTACAACAGAGAACAATGCAAATGTATTCTCCATTTTGAACAGTGGAATTATTTCTGATTCACTCTACTTTCTTTGTTTTGACTTTATTAAATTTTGCTATAATTTGGACCCAATTGTCTGCTTTTGCTTAAGTCTTGAGCCACATTGTGGGAGTGGACCAGTAAAGGTGGTATTAATTAAAGGTTCTTTCTGCCTGTTATCTTCCAGTCTCTGACACGCTGTCCTTTTCTGTTTGCCCTCTTTGGTCTCTCTCTCTCTCTCTCTCTCTCTCTCTCTCTCTCTCTCTCTCTCTCTCTCTCTCTCTCTCTCTCTCTCTCTCTCTCTCTCTCTCTCTCTCTCTCTCTCTCTCTCTCTCTCTCTCTCTCTCTCTCTCTCTCTCTTTCTTTCTCTCTCTCTCTCTCTCGCATCCCTCATCTGCCCTCTCTCTTACTCACGCGTTTTCCTCTCCGTTGTGCGCGTTCACAACATCAGCCTTGGCTCGACGTCAGAGTCTGTGCAGCAGTGCAGTATAATGGGAGCGCAGGCAACACGGAGAGCCTCATAGGAGGCTGCATATCGCTGCTGTATCCTCTGCTTGGCGCTCTCCTGCCCCTCTCCAGTAGCTCACCGGTAGCCCATGCTCCGGCTCCCCCCGTCTCCACCGGATCCGTACCTTCTGACATGGATGTCCCATCGCTCATCAAGCCCGAGGATTGCCGTTTGTTGGCGCAGTGAAGACGGAGAAGGGGAAGGAGCCATGCCGGGATCGCGAATGGATTTAAGGAAAGCGCAAGTGACCATGCCGTGATCTTGCGCATCCAGGGCCGCCGTTTCCCTGCCTTGCCCAACAGCCGTAGAAGCATTACGAGGGATTCAAACCCGCGCACCGGGGGGATTAACCACTGTGCTTTATTTTTTCAAAACAACATGAAGATTACCTCCCATCATCTGATGATAACCAGTCTCATTTTCAGGTCCAACCTCAGGCTGATCCCGCTTCTGCTGCTGCTCTTTCTTGGTTACACTCGCGGGATGCCACACGTTTTAAGATTTGGTAAGAAAACATTTTCTTTCTGTTAAATGCAACAACACCTCTCAGATGGTAAGAAGCACGTCGGGTGTGTGTGGTTTTCTGCTCGCGTGCCACTTCAGACAAAGTTTATCGGCACAAATATTTGATCTAAAAAAAATCTGCCTTTCCATCCTTCAGAGCGCAACCAGACTTCAGATCTGAACGTTTCATGTTGTTTTTTAGTGAGATTAATCACCTCTGAGGTCGTAGTGTGTCTTTAGAAAACTTGAAACTCTGGATCTCCCAGTAATTTAACGAGAATGCAACAGTTTCACGGCTGTTCACCGCAAATGAAGCGGAAGAAACACTGGTCCGTGACTTATGGTTCCGCGCGCAGTCCTGGATCTCCGTGCCATTTAAACCTCCGAGTACACAGCTTCCACTGCGGTAAAGGTCTACATGTGAACATAATCGATTATGGATACGTGAAAATGTGGGTTTAATTCCCCTGCAGGTGGGATTTTGTCGTCTTTACTTTGGTGAAAAGTTTCAGACGAAGCCGCCGGAGAATAATCATCTGAACTTAAACTTTGTGGGAAAACTTCTAATTCGTCCCTTCTCTTTATGCAGGGATCGTCTGCTGAAACCTGATTGCCTGTATTTAGTGTTGATTACAATTGCCACTACAGCGCCTAATGGTTCATAACTTCAAAATAGTGTCATTAATGCATGAGCGCCTGAAACCTTGGAATCAGACCTCTTGGGGTTTTTTAATTAGATCCGTCTCAGGAACGGGAGGGGCATCGTCTCTCTCTCTCTGTTGCATTCCCAGAAAAGAAAAGGAAAAAAGAAACATAACATCTTGGAGTGACAGAAGAACGGATTTCATCAGCGTGTTGACAACACAGCCTCATAAAGAAGCACAAGTTCCCCCCCCCCCCCCCCCCCCCCCCCCCCCCCCCCCCCCGTGGGGGTCCTGTTTAAGAGTCAGGCCGCGTCCACACGATCCACCGCTATGGCAACGGGAAGTGCTTGTCTTCCTGCTGCATTCTCCCTCCGATGAGTGATGTCTCACGCATTGTCTGACAGACGCCGGGGCGTCCATTCAGTAAAAATTTTGCTCCCTGCATGAGAGCACACCTTCAAATTAGGACTAAAATCATTGAATGCAAAGTGGAAAATGTGTGAAAACGACTGATGTAATGATGAGTTAGGGCATTTTATTCATCAGTTCATCTTCCTGCTGAAAAAAGTAGCATATGTTGTGTTTTGTTGCTGGTTTAGCTGGTGGACCAGCATTGTATCCACCAGGATGGGATGGTCCAGCATCCAATCACCAGCATCCAAAAAAGAACGTGCTGATTTTTTCAGCAGGGCTTTTTGTGTGTTTTTGTTGCACCTACTGCGTTTTGTGGGCCTTATGTGGAGTAAAAGTAGAATCCATGGGGGCATTGTGACATCAGCTGTGAGATTGACGTGACCACGAGAGATAAGACATGATTCATGTCACTGAGATCTTTTGCTCTGAGGTAAAGCTTTTCTCTCTGTCTGTCCATTATCCGGAGCAAAAGCAGATGGAGACTGAAAATCAGTGTGTCGCTGTCCTTGGTCCTGACCAAACTAATAGCCCGGGCTGCTGTTTCAGTACCATGGATAGCGACAGGCTCACCCTGAGACTTTGTGCTTTTCCCTGCAAATGTTTTTCTTCTCATGCCTCATTTCCTCATGGTCAAGTAGCCTTCACTTCACATCTCTGTGTTGAGAGACAGACAGAGAGAGGGGGGGGATTAGACAAGCTGCTATTGTTTGTGAATACTGGTCCAAAAGCAGTTTCCCAAAAGAAAAATAGAAACTTGAATGGACGTTTAAATAACTTTATTCAAACTTATCAAATGCGTGCAAAAGAAAGTAAATGCACATGCTGAGAGAGGCGGAGGAAATAATAGAGCATTACTCCGGAGAAGCAGGAGCCCCTTTCAGAGCTTTTCCCTGTCCTGCAAGATGTGCCCACTCAGCAGATAATCCCAGCTGCTCCTGCAGGAGGCTGGCTAAATCAGGAGGTCAGCTCCCCTGGGTTTGCCTGTTTCCTCCTTGCCCCGTGCTCCGTTCTGCCCAGATAAGAGGCTTGCATTGTACAACCGCTGTTCTCCTGTCAGGCAGAAACCTTTTACACACTCACACACAGCCTATAGTCAGCCTTTTGTGCTCTCGGAAGAGCGACAAGTGTCAGAGAAAAACAGCAAAATCACAATAACACGTGTGTTTGGGCCACCAGCTGCAGGCGATAAAGCTGAGCTAATTCCCACACTGAATTAAATGTGTATTTAGAAACATTCCTGCATCTGATTGGTCCTGGTTGGGCTTTGTGCGGGCCCCAGGCAGGCTGGGATAAACTGCCTTGTTAGAGTAGAAGTGTTATCCAACCGGTTCACATCTGCTGGCTGGTTGAGAACACCCAACACCACTTTGCAATGCCGCTAAGGGTCTCAGGTATCCAGAACAAAATGTCGTGTTCCACTTCCACCTGCACAGCAACTGTCAGCAGGGCCTGAAATGTTGCTGCTTAGTGACACCGACAGCTGAACAGCCAGGAGTTGCTCCCAAACTCAGCTGTGATCCTCTTTTCATTTTAAAACGTCTCAAAAACGATGACTTCTCAATGGTTGATTACAAATTATTAATGAGCATGTCCGTGAGCTCATACACGAACAAATGTTCTGTCGTGCACATAATAAATCATCACATCTATTATTTATCAAAGACTGTTGAGTTATTCTGATAGTCCTGCTCATTAAACAAATATAGAAAAACAAACAAACAAGCAAATTAATATTGGTATTGGACAATGTTTGTCATTTTTTATATATCAGTATTAACAGCTGATATTTTTTCCATCTTGTTTTGGAGGGGGGGGCTGTTTAGTCATGTGACAGTGATGGTAATCATCTCAGATGTGTAAATGTGTGTGATGTGTGTATATAATAACATATATCTGTATCTGCTAATATCAGTTATCAGCCATAGCTGCGATTATATTGGATATCAGTATCGGCCCAAAATTTCATATTGGTGCAGCCCTAATTGAATTTAATTTTACAACAGTCTATATTTCATAGTTGGCATCAAACGTGGAGTTGAGTGATAGCAATATCACTTCCATCTGCATACAAATGCGGTTTGTCCCTGGGCTGTCGGCTACTACCGAAAGTGTTGTTGACTCATAAGTACTCCTTCTTTTTCACATCTTCGCTCCTGTTTACATTACCCCACCTCAGACATATGTGAATAATATCTGTGACCTATATGGAAACGTTATGTTTCACTTTAGAAAAAAAAATCAACTATTTTCTTTCAGTCGAGTGAAAAAAAGACTAAAATCCCCTCTGGTGAAGAGGTGTTTTATTTTTATTTTTTTTTTTTACTCTTTCCACGGAGCTGAGATTTGATTGTATTTCAACTGAGTTATGAAAAGGTAAAATTATAAAGATGTTGGGAATAAACACAGGTGGTGGGAATGCTTTCAGAAGGAGTTAGAAGTTAATTACCTTTATTTACTTTTGGTTTCTGTCACCCTGGATCAGCATGCCGTAGTTCAGTTTGGGATTGCAGGAATCATGGATAACACCCAGTGGCCTGGCCCAGTGCCAGCACGTTTCACAGCAAACCCATTTAAATGCACACAAAGCTGCTTAAAATATTCATCTGTCACTTGGCCTCGCTGTAGCTTATAGAAATTTGAAACTATCTCTGCTGGCAAATGATTTCCATGGTTTAAAAATACCCACTGTGGGTTTCAAGAACAAAGAGGAGATCTGTCTTCCATTAGCATGCAGCACCACACATGGACTCGAAGCAGGGAACTATCGAGATGGATTTCTAAAACATGTTTACAGTTGTGGAGCTTTGAAGGTCTCGCTGTCATGCCTCAGCTGCAAAAAAAGCTCAGTGCTGATTAATACTGGGTAAAGATTTTGAAATGGCAAATGTCTGTGAGGTATGAAATTAGTTTTCTCGGTGTGCTCAGAATTAAGTCAGCTTTTTCTTCTTTTCTTAGATTCAGAAGCAACATTTTAGAAGATTATTTACAAAGAAGGAAGCTTTAGCTGATTGACCTTGTTTGCAGGGTAAACAGATTTAGCATAAATGCTTATTTTAACACTTTTTCTTTGGAAATCAAATAGAATACAAATGAGACCTGAGATTCTACTTGTTTTATTATTCAGAGCCTTTCGCTCGTTGTCATCATCACTCATGATTTTCTTTGCAAGGGTTGGGGGGGGGGGGGTCTATGTGCAATTGTTTTGCGAACTGTCCCTTGAGAGGAGCGCTGCCGCCTGTCTGGTCCTCTGTCTAAAATCTGACTGAAGGTCAGAGCTAAAAGCACTAACACGGAATGATTATTCCTGCATATTTTGATCCACATGGAACTGTCCTTCTCACGGTCCCTCCAAGGGAGATGGTGGCAAATTTGATGTCACACGGAAGTGTAAAAGATGACAAAATCAAGGTATTTTTGTCAGAGAGGGAGACAATGTGAATTGTGAGTGAAAAGAAAAACAGAGAGCATTGAGGCCAGCGGATACAAAGTAAAGATAGATTAGTTTGCCTCAGAGCAGTCCACTCTCAGCCCACTCTCAGTTGTGGTCTTTTATTACTGTTTTCTTACGGCTTCTGTGGGGAAAGACAGAAAGGAGAGTGGAGTTAGCTGTGGAGATGTGGTGGGAGGCCAGGAGTCATGCACCGCATCTCCAAATAAACGTCAGTGGAATCGTATTAGCCAGCTGAAAAACATTTGCCTGCAACTACGGAGACGCGTGAAATGACTCTAACGGGAGGAAAACACGTTGCAAACACAACCAACTGAACCCAGGATGTGTTTTTATTAGCCTATATTAGGAGCGCGACCCAACCCACTGTAGACTGTCAAATGGAAAGAATCAATAGAAATCAATAAGCAGGAATCTATGAGGAAAGTAATTCAAAAGAGACGAAGAAACTGGCAACAAAACCAACAAGTTACAGATGCACCCTTCTTCCATGTA